CTCTCTCTCTCTCTCTCTCTCTCTTTGTCTACCCTCTCAATGCCCTCTCGAGCTGCAAAAATGCAAAGACTTTAGCGAAACTTTGCAGACAGGTTTATCGCTGCATTTTATCACCCGAAAAACTTCAAAAGAGCGCACAGTTCTCAATGAGACGACTTTTTACGAAATAATTAAATACAAAAATAGAGAAAGAGCAGCCAGAGTGACAGAGAGGGAGAGAGAGAGAGAGAGGTGACTGTAAACAGCAGCGATGCAAATGTCAAGCAATGCAAGCCGCAGAGGCAAACACTGAGTAGAGGAAGGGAAGGACAGTGCCGCAAATAAGTCAACAAACGCTCGACTGCCATATAAAATGCACAAACGTCAACGTTAAAGCGCCCTCTGTCTGCGAGTAGATGCATTTGTCTAAATTGCGCTGCGTTGCGTTGCTGCTAACCAAATCAAAACTCATTTCGTATGCATCACATTTCCACCTGCGCGTCTGACTTAATCCCCACTGCCAGCAACAACAACAACAACGACAACAACAACAGCTCAAAGAAATTGCCAACGCAATTGTGTAAAGATAAACAACAATTATTGCTGCCTGCGAACGGAGGAGTTGTTGCCTCTTTGGTGGCTCCGCAAAGTGTTGCAGCGCCTTGCCATGCAATTTTGATGCGCGTTTGTTAGAGCTTGTTTCGAGCAGGGATGGGGGCAGAAGCAGGAGCAGGAGTAGGAGCAGGGGGTGGGAGCAGCTAAGCATCCACACAGGAAGCATTTGGCGCAGCTCCCACAGCAAAGGCGGAACTGGGCAAGTAAAGGATATGCAGCTAACAAAAAAGGAGAACAACCGGGGGTGCTAGAAGCAGCCGGGAGGCTGAAGCAGACTAGTGAATACCCTGCAATTGCAGAGAAATTGGAGGCACATAAGACAAAATATTTTTTTTTAAGTAAACATACTTTGCAAAATAATAAAAGTAAAAATTAAACAAAAAATTTATAGCAAAAGAACATATAAAATTTCATATACAAATTTATTATAATCAAATTTGTTTAGAATATTCGGTTAAAAAAAAATACTTGAAAAAAATTATTTTCTCATGAAATATTTATCATTTGTCTGTATCAAAAAATATTTTATATAATTTTTTCATTTAAAATATAATTTTATTTATATTTATTTTTTAATAATTTATACTTTTATTATTAAAAAAACAAAAACTCTAATTATGGAGAACAAAATTTGAGAAAGAAAGGCAGTATCATTAAAAAATATATTTAAAAAAAAAAAATAAATAAATTAAATGGAATATTAAAAAATATAAGGAAACTCAGAATATAAATAAATAATCATATAGGTTAAAAAAAAAAAAATAATAACAATATCAACATTTGAATAATTTGTTATTCGCTTCAATAAAAATAAATGACAAATTAGGAAATACAGCAGATAAAGTATAAAGTAGAGAAATCCTTCAGATCATTTGACAACACTATAAAGTAGTGTTCTTGTCAATTCACCAGTGTGAGCAGCATTCAAGTCTGCAACTCAGTTGACGGACAGATGATGCACTTAGAGCTGAGTTGGTTTGATACGGTTTCGGTAGTGCGCAACTCCGAAAATGAGTATAAACATCGAGTGAAATGCGTCGTTTCGATTGCAATTTTCCAATTGGTTTGTCAAATGTGAGGTGCAGCACATTTTTTTGGCTCCTTTATTGTGTTGTAGCTGGCTTTTGCTTAGCTACAATTGGCCCGAGGTCGTGTATGCCACACAATGGCAGCTACGTGTTAAGCGCGTCATCAGACACAGCTAGCAAAAACAGAGAGGAAAAGACGAAATCAAAAAACGGGAAAAATGGAAAGCAAGAGAAAACCCCCATAGACAAAAAGCCTGACGAGCACTTTAGCATGTCGCAGCAGCAACAAAGCGAGCACGAAGAAAGAAAAAACAAAAAGAAGAAAAGTGAGAGAGGAATCGCAGCAAAACGCTTCTAAGTACACCTAACCCTATACATATACATATACATATATGTATATATATATCTCCACCTAGACAGTCGGCTATTTAGAGACGATGTCGTTGCTTTGTTTTGTTTCGCATTCGCACGTGTGTTTATTTAAAGAAATTGCCTCAGACGGAGCAGCGAACGGTGCTGTGACAGCAGGAAATAAACAAACAAATGAAGATGAGCTTTTGAAGTGTGCCCAGAGCATGGGTTGTCGCTGATGAATGCAGCCGCTGCGTAGCCATCTAAAAATATAACCCTTTCCCCCTCCCACCTGTCGCACTCGCCCCGTCACAATGGGCTGTCGGCCTCTACCCGGAACTGTTGCCGAACTACACTCAAGTGCCAAACCCACTAAATGGCAATTAATTAGAGCAGCAGCGGGCGCGACTCATTAGAGCAGCTGGCGCAACAATCAAAAACGCATTTCAAGCCGTAGACCCAAAAAGCCCTAACCCATCCAAACTCATCTTTCATTTTTTTGTTCCTTTTCCTTTTTAGTGCCCAACGAGGCGCCATTTGGCATGGAGGCCATACTGCTCAATGCCTCTGCGGTCTTCTTGAAGTGGAAGGCGCCCCAGCTGAAGGAGGAGCATGGTAAGTACATCCGCCGCTATCTGCCTCGCGCCCCAATCAACCCCTCATTAACCTTAATCCTCATGTCTGACCCCCAATTGCAGGTGTTTTGCTCTACTATCACGTCATTGTACGGGGCATCGATACGGCTCACAATTTCTCGCGCATTTTGACAAATGTGACCATCGATGCTGCCTCGCCCACTTTGGTGCTGGCCAATTTGACGGAGGGCGTCATGTATACGGTGGGCGTGGCAGCGGGCAATAACGCTGGCATCGGACCGTATTGTGTGCCAGCGACATTGCGACTGGATCCGATAACGAAACGACTCGATCCGTTTATCAATCAACGGTAAGTTGAAAAATTAAGCTATAAGTACAGTAAAAACTCCAAATGAAGAACTGTGTATTCATTTATCCATTCACTAGAGCACAGATAAACTGTATAAATCTTTAAATATGCTCAAGTAATGCCTTTGACAAGAGAACTGATCCGTTTTCTCTAAGCCTTTTGGCTCTACTCAGGCGCAGCCAACTTAATAAGCTCACACGGCAATTGAGCGTTGCCAGATCGTCTCAATTAATCACAATTCTGAGTTTTGATATTTATTTGCATTTTTGATTTGGTTTCTTCCACAGCTATCCCATCAATCAGGATCATGTGAACGATGTGCTGACACAGCCTTGGTTCATAATTTTGCTGGGCGCCATATTGGCCATCATGATGTTGTCCTTTGGGGCCATGGTGTTTGTGAAGCGCAAGCACATGATGATGAAGCAGTCGGCACTAAATACCATGCGAGGTGAGTACCAGAAACCGTAGCACTGCCAGCAGACGAGGGCGACGCGCAGACGGTGCCCGGCCACATCCGAGCTGCATCCGTTGCGTTCAGCTAGTGGCGCTTCCTTCCTAGCCAGACTTTTTGCATTTCCACAAACACACACACATACAGAGATTTACATATATAAATAACACTAATTTTCCATTGTTCGCGACACACACACGCACACACTCCGGCACAACAAAATAGGTGCGAATAAATATTTTAGCAGGCAGCACAGCAGAAATTTTCGTGCCGGGCGCATAATAGAAATGAACATTTCGCACGTGACGTTCCACGCCGGAGAGGAACTCCAGCCGCTTCCTCTTCAGCTTTTCCCCAGAGTCGGTTGCAATTATGCATTTAGTTTTGTGTGCATTATTAACCAACAAGTTGAGTGTGCCTGTGTGAGTGTGTGAGTGTGTGTGTCCCTGGCATGTTCAACACTTGCATTTGAGGACAGACCTTGTGGTCTAATTGAAATTAGCAGCATTTCGAGAATGCCAAAGGGCCGCACCGAGAGGGGCAGCCCCCGCCCGCCTTGCATGTGGCAACTGGTGCTTAGGCTTTCCGCTTAGCTGGCTGCAGCACAGTAAACGCAACTCTTTGGCTTGTGGCGCGACGCAATAAACAAGGCCACTGGCAAATTAAATACTGACGCAAGTGGCAGATACGATTCCAATTTGGGTTCGCAAATGGGATGTGATTAAGTGGGAAATCGTGTATTTTGGGGAGTAAATCAATGAGTAGCAAAGGATTAACATTCCAAATTTAATAAAGATTTCTTATAGTTACTACTACTAAAGTGAGTGATTAACTATTAGTGCTGTTCTCTAAGTAGCTCATACTACTTTTTCAAAATCATACTGCTGCTGCCTTTCCATATTCATACTACGTTTTCATAGTCATACTACTATCAGTACTTCATCCTCACACTACAAGAAGTATTTCATATTTATACTACTTTAAGTAGTAGGAAAGGGTTTTCGTATCCATACTGCCATTAAGAGTATATACTTTTAGTACTATTACTATGTACTGTTACTACTATTTCTCCGAATTATACTACTATACATTGCTATTACTATTTCTACGTACTAATATACTACTACTACTACTACTACTACAACTACTATTTCCACGTACTACTACTACTACTATTTCCACGTACTACTACTACTACTATTTCCACGTACTACTACTACAACTACTATTTCCACGTACTACTACTACTACTATTTCTACGTACTACTACTACTACTATTTCCACGTACTACTACTACAACTGGTTTTAAGTACTACGACTACTACTAGTTTTACGTACTACTACTACTACTAGTTTTACTTACTACTACTACTTCTTACGTACTACTTCTACTACTAGTTTTACATATTACTACTATTACTAGTTTTACATACTACTTCTACTACTATTAGTTGTACGTACTACTATTACTACTATTACTAGTTGTACGTATTACTACTATTACTACAATTTCTACTTACTAATTCTACTACATTTTCTGCGTACTCCTACTACTATTTCCAATTGCTACTACTTTTACAACCATTACTCCTACTTTCTTGTTACCTTTTAGGCTAATATTATTCCGTTTATCATTACTGCCTACGACTACTGCCTATTACTGCTACTATATCTACAAAATACTGAATTTATCTACGATCATTATGTCTATCTACTACTACTTCTACTACTTTTACTATCTATTACTCCTACTTTCACTCTCATTACTATAACGACTACAACATCCACTACCACTACTCCTTTAACTACTATTTGCTGTAATACTGCATCTCTTCTATGTTTTACATTTATCCATCACATAGTCATCATGAAATGGAGCTTGAAATATTTATGAAAGCCCTGCAAAACAGTAGCTTTATGGGAAAATAACTTTTGCAGCGAAAGCGCATCACAAGTACAAGCCCGTAAAAGCTGCTGGCTATTATTTTCAATTTCCATAGTTTACACACTAGTTTACAATATAGTTGTGATTTTGCTGTGAGCTGTCCCTGTAGCAGCAACAACTGCGCAACTTTGGCATTGTTCAACAAGCCGCAGCTAAACGGGAAGCACGAAACAAAAATAAAACAGAAAAAAAAAGAAATGCTAAAAAACGGCGCCCGTTGCATATTCATTGGGCGCCAGTTGCAATAAACTAAGCAGCAAAAAGCGCAAAGCTCACCTGGATGGCCGTAGACAATGAACAACAACAGCCCCCAATTGCCACGCCCACCGCCCATCTCCCACAAACCCCGCACAACAACAGGCGCCATAAAATACTCGCTTGATGCGCAGTTATAACCCGGGGACAGTTTAATTGCTGTATTTTTTATGCAATACGTTTCCTCTCTCTCTCTCTCCTCTCTCTCTCTCCACTCTCTTTTACTTTATTTGAGCTGCTCGAAAGTATGCAACACATTTTTGCACAAGCGCCAACTGGAAAATTGACAATAATTTATTTGATTTTCAACTGTGTGTCTGAGTGTGTGTGTGTGTGTGTGCTGTGACAATAGGGTAAATTGCGCATACGCCCCCTGTGACCCGCCCTTGGCATAATATTATTTTTAATGCGCTGAATTTATAGCACTGCATTGAAATCCCACAAGCCAAACGAATACCAAAAAATAAAATACTTTCGCTCTTCAAATAATTGCTAGAAACTGTAATTAATATTAATTATTAAAGTATATAATATAAAATGCATTAGAAAATTTTATAGTTGGGATTATTATACTTAGTTTCGATTAAAAATGTGTAATATTATTATTATAAACTTAAAATTATGCCTTAACATTTTTAGAAAGTTTAAAAATTTTATCAGCCCAAATAATGTACTAAAAAAATTTACAAAAAAAAAAAAACATCAAATTATTATATATAAAAAAATAATAAAAAAAAATATGAATGATTATTAATTAATAAAGTTTTTTAAAAATGATTACACATATATTTAAAAAAATAAATGAAAAAATAAATAAATGATTATATATTCATCTATTAAAAAAAAAAATGTTAAAAAAAAAAATTTACATTAATTAAGCTGTTACAAGAATTGAATTGAGAATTATTATTTTTACATATTTTTGACAGTATTATTAATTAAACGAAAATTCGATTAAATGGAATATTCGTTTAGGATTACTCCATAGTTTGTTCTTATTCAACTTTAAAACAAACAAAATATTTCCATTAATATAAACAGATTTTCTAAAATACATTATATTCCAGTCAAAAGCTGTTTTGGCACAATTGCGAATTGGTTTTTGGGAACATTCAAGAAGGACTTACGTGCAGCTTGTCTCTGCCTATGTTTTGTTTGTTCATTTAGGGCAACAATTTATTTGACTCACACAATTTGTAGCAAAACATTTAATTGCTCTCACTCACACTCTCCATCTGCCTCTCTCTCTCTCTCCCTCGCTCACCTGCAGGCAATCACACGAGTGACGTGCTTAAAATGCCGAGCCTATCGACGCGCAATGGCAACGGCTATTGGCTGGATGCCTCCACGGGAGGCATGGTCTGGCGCACTTCGCCCAGTGGCGATACCCTCGACATGCAGAAGGATCACATAGCGGACTATGCGCCAGTCTGTGGTGCCAGCGGTGCCGGCTCTGGCGGCGCCACCACCAGCGGCGGCAACACAGGCGGCATCGATGATATTCATGGACATGCCGGCGAACGCAATCATCAGCGGTAAGTTTTTCCACATAGTTACGTAGGTAGACACGCCCCCCTCCACCGTCCATCGTCCACCTAGAGTAAATGCGCATAGCGAAAAAAGAAAGGGAAATGGGAAATTTAACTGGGGACCCACTCAAAGCGACGACAATAAAAATTCACCAAACTGTGAAATTGCATTTTTCTGGCGCGTCGCAAAAACAATTTTTTAACACAACTTTTGTAATACCGTGTGGCCACTGGAAGTGCTCAAAGGGGGTATATTTAATGGGTGAAGAGCTATGTAACACTCTAGAGTTGAAGACTCTCATATGATTCTTGAGTAACATCGATAGACAAAGCGAAGAAGTTGCAGTTGAAATAGATTAATTTATCGATATACTTTCGATTCTTGCTCTCAGCAAATTTTGCATTTTTCCTGTTCATTTTTATAAGGATATCGATCCACACACCAGGAATAACTTAAAAGACAAATTTATAATATAATTTGTTTATAGTTTGAACAACTCTAAAAATGTTTCAATTTATCGATTACTCTTTAGCTAAATCGATAAAGAAATATAAACAACATTCCTTTTATATGTTACACTATGATATTTGATATTTCAATGACATTTGAGCAACTTCGAATAGTTGAAAAAATGATAAATGTTTCTTATATTCTTTCCACTTATATGAGAATTTATGATATTTCAACAACTTCAAGTAATTGATAGAAACTCGATATATATCGATATTCCTTAAGCAGCTCTCTTACATTCTAAACACTCTTAAGATGTAGTAAACTTAGTCGCCTATACCCCATCTAATGGCAGCATACTCCCACTGTTTTCGTTGGTAGATTTTCGTTTTCGCTTTTTAACAGGCGGCGCCGGGCCAACAAAAATCAAGTTAGAAATGGAGATGTTGGCGCGCTATTTATGTTGATTTTTGCAGCAGCAAGTGGACAGCTCCCTGGCGCTCTCGGCTCTCGGCGGACAGTTCACATTGGCTGCATAGTTTTTCAGGCACAGCTCCAGCACTGGCACAAATGTAATTATTGAAGTGTCGAGCAGTTTGTCCTCCTACCTGCTGCATATACATTTGTCTAGCTTTAAGAGCTAATAGCTTTAAAGTTGAGCTGAGTTCCATTTAGCTGTTGGCTAACTATGGAAAGTGGGTGTGAGTCTATCGCCGTAAATGGCTGGAGTTGTAGTTAGATAATGTGAACAGAAGTCAGAGATGCTTTAATTAGGCGTGCATTATTTATATTTATAGAGAACTCATAGTTCAAAACTTTCAAAATGAAAATTGACTAAATTCTATTTATATTTGAATTTTTATACCTTTTTTTAAATCGAAAAATTACAAATATAGATCCTTAACTACTCACAATATTATTAGCTTTAAATTGATACATTTCTTTGCTAATTTGAGCCACTTTAATTTGTGCAAATATTTTGTTTGGC